GCAAAGAATCCAGCCTCCTTGCAGGGGCACAGTAATACCTGCTGCACGGAATTGAGGAGAGTAGAGACCGCACACCCAGAGGGTCTCTCTTAAAGTCCGGCACTTAGCTGGTAAGCAGTGGCGGCTGTGGGCTGTGAGACTTTTTTGTAGACTGCGTTAAGCACTCAGCTGGAACAGGCGGCTGGAGCGATCTGTCCGTGGCCTGGGGGTGACAGCAGCTGTGGAGGTTACAATCAGAGCCGGGGAGGTTTCAGTGTCTCCTGTGGCCAGCCTGATTTGCTTAGGGACATCTTCAGCAGAAGCTGAGAATTCTATTTAGTGATTTCCTGGTCTGTTCATTCATGAAACTATCAATTAGTGTAATTCTCCAATCTGTTATTGAATGAATGAATCCACTAGATGATGTAACCAATAAAAATATTTGTAAATTTTTGATGCATTGAAGTATTTAAAAAAAAAAAAGATGTCGCACTGGGATCTGAGTAAATAAGTTAAATTTCAAATAAAAAAATATGAACCAAGGTTGGTTACTGCCTTAAAAAAAGATAATCTCAGACACACAGGGAATCACTAATTTTAATCTACATTTTACACTTAAAATTCCAGCCTCAAAATGCAAATCAGCCATGCACTTGAGGATGGGTCAGTTATTAAGTGAGCTCCAACCACGATCCACCCTCTGCTGGGACCCAGCCTTCTTCAAATGTAAACTGAAAATGGCAAAAGAAGTGATTTTTAAGGCACATTTTTATGATGACTAAGGAATACACATCGCAGAACCTCTAGAAACAAAGTGCTTTTCAAAGAAAGAAATTCGTAGTTCTACCACTGAGATATACACCTCATCTGGCTTTTGTGCCTGCATTTCACCCTTCAGCTGAGGCGACCCAGTGTGTGTGGCTTCACATCCTGCTCTGGAGTCAGCGTCATACACAGACATTCCCCTGCTTGTTCCCAGGGACACACACACACGGTGAAGATGAGCAGGACCGGATTACAGGGAAAAGCCCCGGTTTCCAGCCATGCCTGATCTCCTGTCCTTTCCCACTCAGTCGGTCTCCACTGTGCGTTTTTCTGTGCTTGCTCCACGGCCGCCACAGCAAGGGGCTCTGTGCACCCCACTCTGCTGGTGCTAGCTCTCTCCTCAAAGCTTCATGGGTCATAGGTGGGGTTTTTTGAAGGTGGCTGGATCTATCAGTTCTCTGATTGGTGTGGTGTGGTTCTGGGTGTTGGTAATACGAAGGCCCAACCTGGGTATGGGTGGCACCACCCAAAAGCTGGGTAGCTTGGGAAAGATAAAAGAGAGCATGCTGCTGCCGCTTTCCGGTCTCCTGCCCTGCCATGGACTGTTTTTCCTCTGGGATCCCCTCTCACAAGCCAGCTGCCTCGGAGCCAGTCGATTATACACTCAAAACCTCTACAAACCGTGAACCAATACACCTTTCCTTGCTTAGCACTGAGTGTTGGGCATTCTGTCTAAGCAACCAGAAAAGCAACTAAGACAACCCCCACCCACTCCTTGACCTTCTTCCCCTTTACACAGTATCCAAGCTCTGCAAAACTGCAGCGCTTCCCAGTCGTCCTGTCGGAGGTAAACCCAGCATGCGGGAAGCCCACTGTACAAGCAGAGGCTCTTTCTTTACAGTGAAGATGTAAGACGGGAATTAGTACAAGGAGGCCACCTGGGGGCCAGGCTAAGCTGTGGGCAGCTCAGGCCTCTAAGAAGATCACACATCCGGGGCACTGTATGTTAGGGGAGCTGGCCAGTCCCTACCTATCCCGGGGAGCCTTCATTCACTGAGTCAGTCAATTACTTTCACGAGGCTGTTGGGCCTCGAGATCTGTCCCTGGGAGTCAAATGGTTCAATGTGTCCTTCAGTGGAACAATTTTGTCCCTTATGGTCAAACCAATCAGCTGCTAGAACCCCCGTGAGTCTAATCCAAAGCTTACTGTCCTGGTGTTACTTTTGAGAGCACTTGGACGCCACCTCTCCCCACAGTCAGGTGTTCATTTGAAGCTCGGCTGCCCTATGACTGTCAACGTCTCAAAGCGACCAGCTGGTGACTTTCTGAAATGGCACAGCCCTTGGTCCCTGCCCAGCCCTCACAGTGGACAGTGAGGCCCTAATGCAAAGGCAGAGATTCCTGGAAAAGCGCTCACCGCAACCACCAACCGTCAGGAGTCTCTCTTCCAAAGGAATCTTCTTTCGAGAAAACCAACATTCCCTGAATCCAACCAGCCCTGAAAATGTGGCTTAGTCTCCTGTCTGATGGTCTATGAAGTCCAGAGACAGTGGCTGCCCCTCTCAGTGGAATGTCAGAGCCCTCTCCAGCTGGCATCTCAAGTTCTAATGCGAGGCAGGCAATGCTGATTATCGGGACCAAACGTAAAGCCAAGAGCAAGACCATAAAAGGACGTGGATGAGATGGGGAGGGGTGGGGGGCTCACATGCAGATGAACGTATGTGGTGCGGCTGGTCTGGAAATAATGCTTTCAATTTCCACTCACTGCATACAGCAGAACAATTTCCTGTCAGCTAGTAGGATGTTTCCTTTTACCACAGCTATCCGAACAACTTCCTGCCGGCCAATCCCATGCTGGGATTTTCGGTTTCAGCACAAATACCCAGCGGCATGTAGGAGGAGAACTGTTCATCCGATCCACGTTATTATTTATTGACTTACAGGCAATACTAAGGTTGGTGAGTGTGACCTCTAGTGTGACAGAGACGGTCACAGCATGCAGAAGGACATGTGGCAGGCACTAGCCCTGAGCTGAGCCACCCCGGGTCTTGCACCCCGGGCTCTCCAGGGCCGCCTACTTCTAACTCTAACCAGGCAATAACACAAAGACAGACCCTGAAGGTCTGAATCCTCGCCCTAAACTTCTTAGCATGAACCTTCATCATACGATGCCACCATGATGTGCTGTCTCACCACGGCCCAAGGCAATCACACCAGCTGGCCTTGGACCAAATCTTCCCACGCTGCCCGCAGAAATAAACCTTTTTTCTGGATGAATTTGATTGTCTCTGGTATTTGTTACAGTAATAGAGAAATGACTCATAGTCACTTGAGGGTATATGCAAGGTACATATAAAACATAAATAAATGTTCTGTTTAATCTCTGGTCTCATCCTTGAGATTATATGTCTGCAAATTCTGGAAGATCAAGATGGGGATGTAGCTCATTGGCACAGCACCTACCTGGCAAACTCGAGTCCTGAGTTTGATTCCCAGTGGTGGTGGGGGGAAGAGAAAATTAAATATATATATATATATATATATATATATATATATATATATATAAAGTTCCCAAAGATTTAAGGTAGACTTAGCCTGCAATCATATGATCTCTTAAAAAACAAGGATTTGCCTAAAATCCATGTTGTCTATAAGATTCCCTCACCAGACCATCACTACGAGGGCCAGTTGGCCAGAGTGAGGTGTGGACAGTGCCCAGGGCTCTGACTGGGAACCCCAGCCCTGCTCAGCTGCACAGAAGGTGGGGACATTACCCACCCCCTTGCCTGCCTTCCTGCGGCCTGTCTTTTGCTTGTCACTGTGGTCTTCCGGCTTTTATGCTGGGATTCATTTCCCTTAGGAAAAGAATCTTGTAGAGAAATATCAGATAACAAAAAAAAAATTCACTTAGAAGTTTTATAAAAATCAAACTTCATTCGTAATCAAGAAAAAATGAAACTCCTAGACTGTCCATTATATTATCTCCCCCACCCCTTTGCTAAAAATAAAGAAGTTTTACAAGTCTGGAGTTTCACGTAAGGCAGCTACTTCAGATGTACCCTTTGGGACACAGAGTCATCAGATTTATTTTTGGAAGGTTGAGTAGGTCAAGAATACCTAAAATAACCTGGTTTCTATTTAAAATATCCGAATCATTCTGTATCTTAGGAGGAGGAAAAGATGACTTTAACAGATTACTCAAACTAGGGACATCACCAAGCGTGTGTCTCACATGGGATTGGTCATAGCTACCTGAAGGACAGAGAAAGAAGTCCCTTCTCCGAACGTGTGAAAATGTACCAACTACGTGAGGAAAAACCCGAAGACGCAGATAGACAACTATCTCTTTATGCCACTGAGTATATATTAAAATAATTTGCTAAATTCAAACAAACAAACAAATGCAGGCATTTTTAAAGGGGCACTGGCATGCTGCAATCTGCAGATGTTTCGACCAAAAGGAATTCTGTGGCCACAGGGAGACCGGAAGTTACTGCTGTCCAAGGTGAACAAGCACCTGCCTGTTCCCTGCGCACATCGGGTGCTGCCTGGCAAGCGGGAAACTTACCGGTGTTTACTTCCAAAACCATAGGAAGCAGATCACCGTAGTATTTAACACCAACATTTTTTTTTTTTTTTTTTTTTGCTTTGTTACCAGGAGCATAGGGACGTGAAATGATGCCTGAAATTTGCTAGAAAACCCAGGTGTGGAGGTCTGCTGGCTGACAGGGAGACCCAGGAGCAGCAGGTATGGCCTGGCTGCCGGGAGGGATGGGGGTCAACAGCTGGGGTGCGTATGTAGGGTGACTTCAGGACCCAGAGCTCCACAGAGGAAGGGAGGGAGGAAGGGAGGCCAGGGCTCCTGTCCCGGGCCAAGGGCTTTGCAGGTAGCCGATGAACTGCCTCCTGTGCTGAGCTGAATGGCAGTGTACGCTTCACACTCAGAAAGAGACGGGTGTTATCGTTAGATTCTCCAGGGCGCAGCCTGCCAAAGGGCGCAGAAGGTTCTTCCTGCGAGCTCTCTGCACCCCACACAATCTTGGTAAACACGGTACCCTGCTGTCCACTGGGACGGCCTCTCTTAACCATCACTGACACATGCACACCCCTGGGGAGGATGATTTCCCAGCACCCACCAGAACAGACTTCTGCGCTCCGTGAGACCCCTGGGACACCACTAGGCCTGTGCTCTCGTGGGTCTGTATTTCGCAGCTCCGGTCAACACCAGCACCGCCCCGTTCCTGCCCCGAGCCCACCTTTGGTAGGTCCTTTCCTGTTGAGCACGGCCTGCTGCTCCTCCGTGATGTTCAGCCTCCGAACCACGTCGGCCAGCGCAGACTTGAGCAGCTGGATGTCGTCCTCCTGCATCTGCACGCGCTGCTCCAGAGAGGCGATGCGGTCCGACACCTCCATGCTGCTCGCGGCAGACGCGCTGTCATCTAAACCAAAGGGAGGGAAGGTGTGAGTCTCGGGTGCTGCCCCAGAGCGACCGGATCGATAACCACGCTGCTTCCGCCCAAGGCGACAGCACAGGCAATGCAGGGTCATTCCCACAGAGGAGCATAGCTGCTCGCCCTGCCGCGGCCTCTCCACTCCCTATGCCTGGCTCTTCGTGTTCAGACCACTCTGGTTTTCATCGTCACTCTATTTTTTACCTGCGGGCCGTGTTATTTTCTTTTCCATGGCATCTGAGAACCTCAGAAGTGGGAAGGTCATAAAAATCTCTACTTCCACTTCCCAGCGTGCAGAAAACCATCCCTGCTGGCCTTCTGCTTTTACTCCAAGGACGCTGACAGGTCATGCAGCCTAAGGCCGCACTCCCTGTCCGTCCGGACTTTGAACGACGCAGCACTGAGCGGGCAAATCTGCATGCTGACTGCACCCTGATCTGGGCTGCACATAGCCATCCTGCATTTCCTTACCCAGAACCACCATTCCCAACTCCTCCGGGGGTCTATGAGGCTGGGCAGGGTCCTCCAAAGCCCTGGGGGTTTGTTTCATGATATCAAACAACCCGACATACTTAATAGGAATACAAGGAGAAGAGAAAGAATAAGACAGGAAAAAGTCTAAGACGGAAAGACCCAAGTATCCCAAACCTGATGCATGGTAAATGTTAAAGTGTTCATCAAAGGCCAAGCAAATGGAGAACGCCAAGGTCATCAGTGGTCAGCTCTTGAAAACCAAAGGTAAAGACCAAGTGAAAGGAGCAAGGGAAAAACAACACATGCAGGGGACCAGGTCTGACAGACCTTGGACTCTGCGTTGTGCACGGCAGAGGCCAGAAGAGAGCAGGGCAGTAGCTTCTAAACACTAGAGAAGATTCAATCCAGAAGCCTATGTCCCGCAGAATATCTTCTAAGAAAGAAGGCAAAGCAGAGTCATTCTCAGATGAAGAGAACCGGAGAGGATTCCCCTGAACCATGTGCCGCACAGGAGCTGCTAGAGGAGGTTCTTCAGGCTGCACAGAAATGGTCGGAGATGCTCCTCAGCCCTGCTCAGACCGAGGGGACTGCAGGAGATGGGAACCTGAATTAGCTCAGTGACCGACCTTTCCTCCTTCCCTTTTCCTCCCAATGTTCTTATAAACCTTTAAACTTACAACGATAAAAGTGATGACATTGTTTGGTATTTTTTCCATTTGCACATGTAACTAGCATAACATACGCAGTAAATGGGGATCTAAAAGGTACAAGACCTCAATATTTACACAAATATACAGTGCTCCCTGTAAATGGCTATCACTTAAATCTACTGACAAAAATTGTCTGCATTTATGGGGTACCATAGGTTGTCTCCTGTACAATGTGCTGTATGGTGTACAATATGTGTACATTGTGAAAGACTAAATCAAACTAATTAATATTTGCATTACCACCCCTGCTCATCCACTTACCTTTTTTTGTAGTAAGAACACTTACAATCAGGTAACCAACAAAGAAAGCGCCTCCTGGAAGAAGCAAAAAAGGTGGGAAGAGGAAGCAACAACAAAAAGTCTCCAGGTCCCAACCCTGAGAACACTGACCCAGGACAGGTGAACACAAAGGAGAATGAGAACAGCAAACATGCAATATCAGACACAGTGCCAGTGGACATAAAGAGATATATTCGGGACCTCATAGATGAGTTCAAAAGTGAAATATTTAGCCAAGTAAAGCAAGATATAAAAAGATTAATAAAAGAGATACTAAGCACCCCTCAAGCAGACACAGATGGAAGAAGGGGGGAACTCAAACAAAAGAGAGAATTATTTGATGAAGAATACAAACAAATTATAGAATATATGAAGCAGATTCAAAGAGATTACCAGGAAATTAAAAACTCTATGGAAAGATGGCAAATCAGCTTGAAAGAAACTAAGGATAGATTATTCAAACTGGAGGACAGTTTTGCAATGTGGGATTATGAAAGGGAAAACTTTTTAAAAATAACAAGTAACAATACAAAGGCTAGAAGACGACAAGAGGATCTATAACTTGAGAATAAAGAATGTGAGTGAAGAATCAAGGATACAAACAAAGGAACTACAAAGGCTATTCACAGAAATAATTAAGAAAACTTCCCAAACATAGGAAAAGAAAATGAATTCTGATATATGAGGCATACAAAACTCCAGCCACCTACAACCAAAACAGAGCTATATCCAGGAATATAGTAATCAAGATCCCAGAAATTCAATATAAGAATAGAACATTACAAGCTATTAGAGACAAGAAATAGATAACGTATAAAAGAAGGTCTGTCAGAATAACGGCAGACTTCTTGACATGAACCATCAAGTCAAGAAGAACCTGGAGTGAAATATTCCAAGCCCTGAAAGAAAATAACCTCCACCCCAGATTGATATATCCTGCTAAAATGTCTCTAGAAATTAATGGAGAAACAAGATGCTTCCAAGACAAAGAGGAACCTGGGAAATTCGCAACCACCAATCTAACTCTACAGAGAATACTAAAGGGCATTCTAGAGAGAGAGAAAAGTACTAGGATTCCAGGAACAGTGGCAGAAAGGCCTCAATGAATGGAGCAGAAAACAGAATGAAGATAAGCAGACAACTGATGACAAAAAAAGAGCATAACAGAAATGAGGCAGAGAAGATTTTATTCAAAACTGATATGATTGATAGTATCAAGTCTGAGAGTATAGGCAACTACACTGAAGATGACAAGACTCTACGATACACATTCTATTTTGATAACTGCCAGTTTTTGAAGTTCTATACTATATACAAAGTTGTATTTTTATTAATGCTGTTATGTATTGATATATTCAATTATACTATGTCTGATGATATAGCCAATTCTATTGGAGATAACAAGAGACAACACAGGAACCATGGTAGAACTCCTTGTACAATGGTCTTATATGTCTTTTTCGTTTCATATGTTTATAGGAATATGTTTTGTTTTGTCTTGCTTTGTTTTGTTTCTCCCTCTAATATAGAAAGGATAGAAATACATGTTAAGACTCATGCATGTGTAGAATCTATAAACAGTTTATGAGAACAGATCTTATGACACATGATGAAATGAACAGATACTTTGAAGAAAAAGAGACACTAAAATACAGTGCTGATCCTGGAGTGTCATAATGTGACACCCAGAAATAGTATTATTCTTTGTTCAGAGTGATATTAGCCTGCTTGGGTTTATTCAATCTCAACATAATTGAAGATATGGATAACTGCATGTGTGTTTAAGTGTATAGGATTGATAACCATATTTCTAAGTTTTTGTTGGGTAGTTGAACAGAATTGGTTGCAGTCTCACTGTTTGAATCCCCACTTTATATGCTCCACTTTAGTATCTTGAATAACTGTAACAGGACAATCTGTAATCATCAACTAGTGATTTCTTACTGTTTATTTTTTTCTTTGAAAGTATGTATTTTTTTTTTTGTCTTTTTCTTTTTTTTATCAGTACCGGGGATCGAACTCATGACTGCCTGCTTGCAAGGCAGGCGCTTATGCCACTGAGCTAAATCTCCAGTCCCTGGAAGTATATATTATTTCTACCTGTTTTCTGTTTTTAGTCTTTCTTTAGATTAAATTTTAAAAAAAGAACACTTGCAATCCACTGCCTTCGTGATTCTCAAGAGCTTAAGAGCCTGTTCCTCTCTGCAGTCCCCACGCTGCACCGCAGGGCTCGTGTACATGGCTGTTACTCAGCATAAGCATCCAGTGTTAGCTGAGGGTAGGATGGTTACAGAGGTGCATGACAATCCCACTTAAAGAACAAGGTAAATAACGGAAGCTAAAAAGCCAACAGAAAAAATAAAACTCAAATTCCAAAGGGAAGAAAAGAGGAATGGGAGAAAAAAATCAGAGAGAGAAGCTAAAACCCATGATTACACTAAGTGTTCCATGGCAACAGTACCTGCATCACACAGCACAGAAGAGACAGAGAGCATCAGAGTCACAAAGTCCTTTGAGCCAGGGACGGTGGCTGACACTTGTAATCCTAGTCCTCAGTAGGCTGAGGCAGGAGATTGGTCCAAGTTCAAGGCCAGCCTGGGCTACATAGTGAGAGCCTGTCTAAATAGATAAATAATTTTGAAAAAGCAATACCCAGCTACATGCCCTCACAAGAGGCATGTTTTAAATATCAAGACATGGAGCATGAAAGTAAAAAGATAGAAAAAATACCCGCCATATAGACAGCAAGAGAAGGCTGGAGTGGTAATGTTTATATCAGATGAAGCAGAGGTCAAAAATGTGTTATTAAAGACAGAGGGAGCACTTCAGCACGGGGAACGGGTCAGTAATCATAACAACCGTAGGCACATGCAAGTCCAGTATAAAACTTTAACACACATGAGGCAAAAAATCACAGAATTGAAGCAAAAACAGGCAACTCTGTGTTTTTCCTGAAGGCTGCCACACCCATCTCCCAGTGACAGACGGAACTAATAAAAACATCAGCAGGTGATCTGAATAGCGGTAAATGATCTCTGTACACTACAGTAACATTATCTATATATTTAAAAAAACTGTGCCCACCGTTTGCCAGCACACATTGCAGGCTGGACCTTCAGACAGATGTAAACAATGTCAGAGACTGTCAATGTCCTGACCACTGTGGTACTACATTAGAGATCAGAAGTAATACCATAAGCTAAGAAGCCACAAATGTTTGGAAATCAAACAAATGCTTCAGGAGTCAAAGACATAGCAAGAGAAATGAGGAAATATATATTTTTTTAACAGTAATAGGTATCACCGTATATTTCATTATCTTTACAATAGTTGTTCTGTCAATCACGTGTATCAAAATAAAATGAAATACAGAACATTATAGAAGTTATCAAAACAGAATATTGAATAGAGCAGTACCATTAATCAGAAAATAGCAAAACAGTAATAAAAATATTTGCCTTCAAAGAAATGGTAGAAGGAAATCCCCTTATTTGCTATGGTCAACCTCCCAGGAGACGCTCAGAT